AAATTTCTGATTTTCATTGCTCAGAGTAGACATAAGAGGTGTAGTAGTTGCCAGTTTAGAAGTTTCCGTGTCCCACCTATAATATTACAATATTAATGAAAGTATTTTATTGCAATGTGTTGAAAACATTACATTACTTTTAATTAATATCTTTACTTTTAATTACTTTAATCAATATAATCTAACGTCTTATTTGATACTTAAAAGTAACTGAATATTCGCATAGGTACCAAATGGAATCAAAGCAAGTCATCACAGGTGCAATTTTAGAAAGATCTTCACATTCTGGCGATGTTACGAAAGATCCACTTCTGGAACGCGGAGGTGGAGTTGTTGAACATTCAGTCGCTGTTGTATAACCCTCCCCATATTCTCCTGCCACATTTTCGCTATGAGAATTCTCGAGAAGTTCCTATAGAAATAAAAGAAGGTATATGGTATAGATATAAATATTTTAAGAAATATTTTAAATTTCTTTAATCTAAAAGAAAGAAAGAGAAGAAGAAAGTCTGAACATGAAAATCGATATTAAAAAACATTAATATACCTTGGTATTAAAGTCCTTATGTGACGTATCGATATTCTCCTTGGAATACGGAAGGGTATGAAGTGCATTCTTGCTGGATTTGTCTGCCGTAGAAGTAGTGGATTTAATTGTATCAGATTTGATTCTTGTGGACATTGTTTCTGAAGACACTGGCTGCATTTGAGCAGATGCGTCTAACTCTGTTATATTCGATGTTGATGCAGTCGTAATAGAAGCTGCACGGGTGAGCGCGCTTGACGGTGACATAGCAGACATTGAGAGCAATGATGAAGCGCAGGACGTTACAACGGTAGGAATAGATATTGGTCGAGTTTTAGCTCCAGCTTCGCATAATCTCGCATCCAATTTTTCCGCGAGACGTGTAACTTCCGCTAATCTCATCGAGATAGCTTCCACAGCTGTCAAATTACTGCCAAGGATCGAAGCATCCTCGGTTTCAGACATTCTGGAAAAAAAGAAAAATTAAATTCTAAATTTGTTAAATTAATATCATGTATAATATCTCATAAATTAATATCTCATAAAATAGATGTTTATTTTTTGAGTGGAAATTTTTAAAGATTATTCAACGTCCATTTTTTCAATGAGTTCCATCTTTGCATATAGTAACAGTTATTTTCTGTTACTTTATATTTATATTTATAATTGTTTTATATTATATTTTATAATTGTTTTGTTACAAAATATTATTGAAAACAACAATTATCTTTTAATTGTTGTTTTTGCCCAAAAACAATAATAAAAGATAATAAATAATTGTACAAACGTTGTATATGTAAGCCATTTTATCATATTATCGCAAGTATCAATATTTCAATTCTTTTTTTTTCTTTCTTTTTCTTTTCTATACATGATTTTCTCCATAATTGCGATTTAATTGCCATGATCACAGAATAATTAAGGAGAAGTACAAAATGAAAAATGCGAAATATCGTTAGAGAACATTAAATTAATGGATTACATAATTAATAATTGACAGTGCATTGGCAGTACATCGCACCGCGCCACATGGCCTTCACAATTTGGGACAAAGTTCTAATTTTGTAGAGCACACTCGCTTGCGAGCACGCTCGCAAGCGTCATACTTTATTGCTAAATTTCAAGAATCTCAAAGATAGATTTTTATTTAAAATAATTTTTGAAGACATTACAATTTTTTATAGAATGCTTTTTCTTTCTTTTTATTACTGTAATGAATGTGCCAAAAATAGTTTTTATGATGCAACGCGGTTGATGATTTTTCGTGACGCAAGCCAGTCCGCCAAAATATTATCGAAGCAAGATTCGCATTACCAGTTGAGTTTTAGTTAAGACGTGGAACAAAGCCAAAGAATTATAGATCACGATATTTTGTTGTTATGTTATTCATGACTGTTGTAACAATTTTTGATAACGTAACTATTCAGTGAATCAATGAAATTTATAAAGCAATTTTATTATAAAGTACAAATTTTAAAAAAAACCAAATGATATTTTTTTATAGAAGAATTATTTTATTATAAAAGAATTTCATAGTAGATACTTGTTTATCAACTCACCATACGTGAGCCACACAATTGTACCAAGTACAAATTTAATAAAAAGATAGAATAAGAAATAATTTTTATGTATCTCAATCAAGTGAAAACTGTGATACTATGGAATTTTTCATAATATGGAGTTTTTTATTGCAACTGACTTACATGCACCGTTTTTAGATTACAGAAGCTATCTCGACGAAAGCCAGTCATGGACTGACACACCGTCTTTATTAAACACGCAGGCGTTCTACACCACAGCGTATTACACCACACTCACAGAATTATTATATTTACCTAGCCTCCTCCATTCACTTACTCTCTTCTTCTCGAATTATGATTTATAAGAATAGAAAAAGTGAATTTTTATTTTTTATCCTAGTTTATAGTTACTAGTTACTAGCGTATTCTTAAAATATTTTTATACACTTTTTTTATCAATCTTTGAACAATTATGTGTCTTATTTTTCTTGTAATTAAGTAAGTCAAACTATTAATCTATAAAATTTTTATATTTTTGATCTTTAAATTAAGAACAGTAATTAATACTCTAATTATTAATATTATAATTATATTGATATTGTATAAACATTTCTTATTATACTTACGATTGCTGATAAAGAGGTTCCTTCAATCTCGTCTTGAGAAGGCGACCCAATCTTACCATTCGACCAACTTCCAGTAAAAGTTTTTCTCGATTATCAAGGATATCTCTTATGTTTTCTCTGACATGCGTTTTCGCTGCTATATCTTCGTCTTTTGCCGAATGTAATAGTGTTGTTACTGTTCCCATTAAATTTTGCAATCCAGCACAGTGCTTTAAATAAAGTGCTTTAAATAAATTTATAAGAAAAAATAGGTAAATAAGTAAATAATATACAAAATAATAATTGTTTTATCCAAGAACACTAGCAGCCTAAGTATCTTTGGTAATTTATATATTCAGTTGATATTAATTTACATCTTCGACATTCCTGTGAAAGACAGCGCATACTCGTAACCTCGTTAATTGTTCTTGACTAACAGACCGGAACTGCCGCCAAGCCTGTCGTAATTTTAAAAAGAGACTAGCATTGCTCTCTAAAGATATTCTACAAGATAATCTTAACACGCGTGCACCATTTACCAATTGACCGCCATACTCGTAAGTTCCCTGAAAACATTTATCTTAACTCTCTATGTTAACAGTTCTAAATATAAAACGGAACAATACAATTTCATATTACTTTCATTTTATTTTATAAAGCTAATTGGTAACACTAATCATGTTTTTACTTTTGCAGTTTCTTGGAAAGATTGATGTTCCTCTTTTTGTAACTGTATCTCCTTTACGTTACATCCAACTTCCATGTGATTCCGAAGTAAAACATTGAATAAATCATTCAACCACTTAACAGCCTAAAA